CTTTTTTCCATCATGCTATGCTCTTTTGTTTACATTTTCGTGGGTGAGTTGTCCCCCTTTCATTCTCACGATGTGTCTTAATCGTGTTTTCAAATTGATTTTGTTAAAAAACTATTGTATTTTTCCCATTTTCGGCGCCATTAGAACCACCACAAGGTAATTTTATGTAGTCCTGTGAAGTTTTGTTGAAATCGGCTAAAAAATGTAGGAAATTCGATCCAATATATAAACGTTACAGACACACACACACACACAATCTGCATTTTATAATAAGTAAGAGATATATATATATATATATATATACACACACACACACATGCATGCTATTCATAAATTTACTCTTCTGGTGCTGGTTCACTTCTATGCCTAGTACATCCTGCTTGAAACTAGCTCAATAATTTACAGTTAGAAATGTAGTTATATTCATGAACATATTCATTGCTTTTTATTAATCAACTAGAACCATATTTAGTAAATTTCCCTGTGCTTATTTCCTTCTCTGTGGTTGTTTGATTATATTTTGTGGTCATATGATCTTTTTCATCCAATCATTTTATGATCATATGATTTTTTTATCCAATCATCTTCATGTCCGCAAAAGAGTACTGATTTATATTTTTAATGCTCATTTATTTTTAGTCATTTTATTCCTTATGTCCAACCAATCCATGTCTGTCTCTCTAATCTCTTATTGTTGTCTTATTTAACTTGCTAACTAGAATGATGTCCAGTCTGTCATTGTTACTGCTTTCTTTGCCAGACAAATTGACTGATTAATGTATTGATATATTTAAACACAATCAAATCAAACAAAAGACCATCATATATATATATATATATATATATATATATATATATATATATATATATATGTATGAAGATTGAATGCTTCAGAAATTGCTTGTTTGGCCAGTTGTAGAAAAGTTTATCTACATTCTATCATTGTATACAATCTTGGCTAATTTTGTGATCACTGTCAATCTTTTCATTTCTCTCTTTGAGATATATAAACATATGTATGGTAGCATGGAAGAAAAAAAAACAAATGAAATGACAATTCTCACCAGACATCTCTGGTTGAGATCATTAAGAACCTGTAATCAGTAATGTCTTCTATCAGGTATTTTTGGTATACACATGACACTATAAACTGAAGGATGTCAAATGTCCTCACAGCTTCAGAAATGTGTTGTTGTTATCACAACATTTCTGCCATTGTACCCCTGAATTTCATGAGGTGTATGTCAATTTGGGTAACATACAGGGAATTCCAAATTGAACCTGTTATTTAATCTATGGGGTTAGACTATTACTATATCATGAAATTCATGAACCAACACTTTAATCCACTAAGCTATTGTCCCATGAACTAAATGAGATATCCCTAGGCATAGGCAGTGGAATGAGAACAGTCAAGCCTCGCAGATTAAATAAAGGGTCCAGTTTGTAATTCTCTAGATTACTCAGAATGATGTACACCTGATGAAAGCCAGAAGGCACAATGAGTAAAACATTGTGATAACATCAACAAAGATGAGGATAATAGTCTGCATAAAAATCCTTGACAAAATCCAAACAATGGTCTGTAATGTAATCGATCCTGACCTAGCATCTCAACTTCAATCATTTGGTGATCCATGACATGCCTTCCCTCTCTTACAAATATTTTCATGGCAATTATTCTGATGCGCTTTCCTCCTTGGTTCACTGACTGCATGAATTTAAGCATACTACTAGATTGGTAACTAGGTTTCACTATTTTACTATTAAGTAATGATTTAACATTTTTAATATGACAGATATCTTACCAATTATCAGGAAATATATGATTGCTTTTTAGCACAGGGGTAAGGTACCAGTAATCCCTTGTGTCTTAGAGACAGTGCCACTTTGCTTCAGGTGAAATGATTAACAAATAAAAGAAACAAAAAGAATGGAAGACCACTTGTACTGATTGACTTTGTATAGACAGTATCAGGCAATCCTGCTCTTACCCCTGTGCTAAAAAGCAATCATATATTTCCTGATAATTGGTAAGATTTCTGTCATATTAAAAATGTTAAATCATTACTTTCTCATTTTTAGTACTGGCAATAACAGTTTTATAGCTGTTATCAATCAATAGATTTTCTTTTCATCTATTTGCTTCACAAAAATATTTTCAATTGATTTTTTTATAAAAGTAATTCAAGAAAATCAGTATTTTTTTACATATCAGATCTGATACTGATCTTTTTCCATTTAACATTATATAAATTATGATTACAATCAAAATTATGTCAAATATAAAAAATGAATTGACAGTTGGATATTATTAATTCCTTCCTAAATATATCTTGCTAAATTATAGGTTTACAGTGAAAAATATGGTAATTTAAAATTGAACATATGAAAGAATTTTCTGAAATAAATTTCCGAGTTATTACTAGTTTACCTATGCCATTAAAATGATGGCAAAAATTAAATTTTTTTCCAGTTATGATTGCTATACTCTGCTCTTTCATGGAGTCAGTCTTTTCACCTCTTGGTCTTGTAGACATCTTGAAATAGCCTGCCATTAAGTTATCTCCCTTGTACTGGTATACACAACAAATGTTACAAATATTTCAACCAACAAAAAACTGTTTGGCATATTATATAGGAAGCTTATTAGCCTTCTTTGATAATAATCATTAGCACTGTTAAAATCTTTTCTGTAAAGAATTGACAGTGTGTGTGGTACTTAGGTTGTTCAGAATCTCTAAGGTCCCTTTAATTTATTTATTACTTCTTCTTTTATGTATCATGTCACTTTGGGATGTAGGCAATCATGGCTCTCTGCGCCTTCCTACCCTTTGTACCTCTCAGCAATGTTTCCATTTTTTTTTACCATCCCTCCCACTTATATTTATCTCTAAGCTAAAAAAAATAATCTAATAATTATCACATTTTATTTGTGAAGTTGAAAATAATAGAAAATACTATTTCTAATATAACATCAGAAAAGAAAGTCCAATATATATTGTGTACTCTTCTGATTTTATGCATGCATGCACACACACACACACACACACACACAAGATATATATATATATGTATGTATGTATATATATATATATATATATATATATATATATATATATATATATTTCTCCAGAGAATTCTTTTAAATATTTTTAGTATAATTTCTCTGTATAAAATGCCTTGCTCTTTTTTTATGTATATACCAATTCATTAAATTTTAAGAGATTTTAATGAACATGAGATACATTTTTAATTTTATAAAATTACAAAGGCAACCTTAATGATAAACTTGCATAATTCAAAAAGTGTATGAATTCAGTGACTGTTGTGGATGTAAAGTCAAATGAGAGTTCTTGATACTTGATTATTTTTATGGTGGAAGTAATAAAACCTTTACCTTAGGAATGTTTTGAAGTTTACTATTGAGTTTCTATTCAGAGAGTTAAAACTTCTTTTTAGTAAAGACACAGTATTGAATCCAGTTCTTTGAGTATGTAGTTCTTGTGTCCAGACTATTTTCTTTTTTTCTGCTTCAAGGTAATATAAACTGGAAATTATCCCCACAGTTAAGATGTCCAGTAATTTTTATCCCATCATACCTCAGTTACTACTAAGAACAAAAAGGTGTAAGCAAAAATGAAATGGCTCCTTCAGAAACTGGTTATTGGAAGAGGTAATAAACCAAATTATATGTATTTGGTAATATCAAGGATACTGGGTTTCAGTTTAGCTCTTAGAGATATACTAACATGAGAGGCGAGTTGGATTTCTTGTCTAAGTAGTAATTAGAGTATCTCTTCATTTAAAAATTTCAGCTATTTTTGTTGATACAATTCTGAAACCAAAACCCAAGCAACATAGCTATAACATTATATGACACAGGATGATGAGTTTAAGCAAGATCATTTTTGATTATTACAAAAGAAAAAATTCAGTATTTTCACTGGTTTGTAAAAGAATCTTATTAAATTTTATCCAAGTTAGATTTTGTTTCAAGAGTGTAAGATGATGTCAGTTATAAGTAAAATTTTCATCAATCTTTTCATCTAAATTTATCTTAACCATTTTATTTTACATTTGCTTATTGTTTTTCTTGAATCAATGCCCATTTTTACATTTTTTAATGGGTTATAGGTAAAAACTTACAATTGGTACCATATTTTCATCTCCTATAATTAATACTTGATTTTATTTCAATTTTTATAATTAATACTGGACTTTAAAGTATTACTCATGGTTAAGACCATAAAATTCAACCTTGAAATTTCCATATTCTATTAAAAGGTAAGCCTAAAATGAATGCTGCTTTACTCGGAAAAACAATAGCAGCAACAACGATAATACACTTTAATCTTTACCAGAAGTTGGAAAAATAAAATTAGTCTGCTGAAATCACGAAAAGAACTCATCTCTCCTATTTATTCTATTCTATTTATTTTCTAATTTATGATTAATTAATTGCTCTGTTGCCAAAGCTGATTTTAGAAGTTCTTTAAATTAATGCAATATAAACTAATCCAAGTAAGGACCACCTTGCAAGTAATTAACCTAATAAGAAAAGAATTAAAATTATTTTCAAAGTTTATTTTATGTTCTATTTTCATTTTTGTTCCTGCTTGTTTCACTACTGCTATATATATCTTCAATAGCTTAGATTTCATAATTTCTATGATATTAATTAATTATCATTATTAACCATATATTAAGTCAAGCAATTATTGTAGATAATTACTTCACACTAAACTGTCTCGTATATTGTTAAAATAAAACTATTAATAATTGTAGAAATAATAAAAAGGACAAATAAGTGGAAAATGAATGAAACTAATGCTTCTTCTTAAATTTGACTCAACAAAGCAGCATAGACAAAATGATAGATCTTGAATAGAAACTTACTTTGTGTCTATTCTTTGCTATTTTCTGGTATTCATTTTTACAAATGTTGACTTTTGCAGTTTTTTTTCATCATACTTAAAATTTTATTTTTTATCTTGCAGCCTGCACCTACACAACCAAAACGGTATCCCTTTGTCACCAAACGGATTCTTTTAACCCGAGACCCAAAGGACAAGTCAATCAAAGGTCAGTGACTCAATAATAAAAGCCCAATGTGGAATAGAAAAAGATAGACAATCTATGACTCTTTCTGTAGTAATTGCTTTTGAAATGTTTTAGATTATACCTTGTTAGAACATTTTAAAAAATGTATTTATTTTACTGCAGATTTTTTCCATGCATCCATCTTTGTCTATATGTTTAATTTCATAAGCAAATATCAATATTCTGAATTGTATAACTGACTTCCCTAAGCTAAACCCCAGTTCCACATAGTGTGGATATGCCATGATCAGTTAAATCATCTAAACTTAACACCAAATGCAATAGAATATTCAGAATTATTACTAATATATGGATACACTTTCACTGCAACTAATTATCCTAAAAATAACTAGATTTCTATATAGACTCCATTTGAGCTGGATAGTTAAAAAAAAATACAATAAGAAAAATAATTTACTGACTGGGTTGGATGTTGTTTCTTGCTTACATCCTATAAAGAAATCTTTTCAAACAATTTTTAAGGTCTTTGATATATATAATCAACTTAAAAAATTAATATTGATTAATATTTCTTATAATACCATGATGATTTTAGTGGGTATTATGGTAAGTATTACTTCATGTGATGTCCAACCTTGATATTTTAAATGGGTGTATGCTAATAACTGAAAAATTTTTCCATATAGAAACTTCAAATACTACATTATTTCTGTCTTATGAGTTCCTTAGATGCAAGGAAAAAGTTTAATTTTCATTCTTATAATATTTAATATTGAAAAGAAAGCCTCTTCAAATTTAAAAGGAAAATTTATTTTTGTGCATACACTTATTAAATTTAATATATCTGAAAAATATCAAGAGCTTTTTCTCTCTCCCAAACATGATGGTTGATTTTCCAAGTTAACAGCATGAACATGAAAGGATTTTAGGTGAGTAATGGGTTGCACAGAGGCAGTTATACCCTCTTACTATCTCCTTTCAGATCTACTGGCTAGATGGGGTAGATAGTATTAGATCAGGTACAGTGAATGGCCAAACCAAGATTTCATGCTAGGGTTGCCTTTCTCACATTTTACAGTACATGTAATAGACCTTATAGCACCTTGATGGCTCGTGACATATTAACAGGGGTTTGTAATTCAGAATTACTTAGTTTCTAGATTGGCTCTCCCACCAAGGCTTGAGAACCCAGTATATTTACCCATAGCTGTAAGGAGAAGACCTGGATTCATATCTTCCCAAGAGTATTAGTTCAAAGAGAAACAGCATCAGAAAGAATTTTATATTAATTGTATAAAATGTTCAAAACAATTTTTTCCCAGAAAGCAAAGTTATTAGCTCATTATTTAAAGAAAAAATGATTATTATTGATAGCTAACCTTAGTATGATTTTGTTGCTAAAAAAGTTAGCTTCTTAAATTTTTATTAGCACAACAGAAATGTGAAAAGCGTACATTGCTCCATAAACAAAATTTCAATTACTTTCTTGTCCACCTACATTATTTACTAATGTCAAAAAATTACTTGTTAGGATAAAAATTACTGAATCAATTTATGAGTAATCATACTGACTGGTTCTATTATACCATTAAGGTTACAACCACTCAACTAACTTAGATTATAAATCTGCATGTTTGCCTACTTCTAAATTGATAATCTCATACTGACTTTCAGTTTCATTCTACTGGCAGAAAAATTCTCATTTTTAGCAAATGATTTTTTGAATTTTATAAATGTATTACATAATACTTGCAAAAAATCACAGATCATAACTTGAAAGTATTACATTTAATTGGTTTACATTGGCTGTAGTTGGAAGTGACACTATTGATTTATGAAAGAAACCTGTACAGAACAAAAAACAAACTGCAAATTTATTGAAGCAATAATTATGTAGAGCCATGATAGGAATTTTACACTGTTACTAATGCTGATTTTTAAGCTACATATGTGTGTGCATTGGAATATTTGATGTGTAAATTTTATATTACTATAAATGTTATATTAAGTGGCTATACATTTTTTATTTTTTATTTCATTCTGTTCCAATAACAAGGATGTCTACTGGCTTAAAGATCAAGAAGTTCTAGCAAACAAAATTGATCTTCTGACAGGAATTGAAACTGTATTCTCTTTTCCAATCAGGATAACCACTTTTAAGTTGTGTGCTTTTCCATTAGGTCATGGGGCACCATCAGAAAAAAGTAAAACTCAGTTACCTTCCTTAAGTAATGTGTAACTGTATATATTTTGGTAACAGCTCATTATTTTATTCATGCATAACTTCTTATTTATAACAGACACACCTTATACAAAATAATTAATTTTTGTTTTGGAGTGAATGAATGTGAAATATCAGTGATTGAATTGTGGAAAATTTAATTCAAATAACTCTTTAGCTTTGGACTAAACTTTCTCGAAACAGCATACATTCAGAACATAATTATTTGGGAGAAAATGTATTAATAGACAAATCAAGCCTCCATAATGAGGCAGGTAAATTATTCTGTAAGTTTGTTTATTTTTAAAATGCTGTAAATTGTTTTTCAGTTCTAACACAAGATTGCCAAATATGGTTACTTTTGAAGGCCCAGCAGTACTACATTTTGTAATTTGCCAATTATGACTAGGCTGTTTTTAAAATAAGCTAAGCTAGTTTGGACTTATTAATGAATAGAAAGTGAATTCAAAATTCCATAGTGCTGGGCTTTCAAATGTTCCCATTTTATTTCTTGAGCTATTTTCTCAACTCTTTTGAATGGTGACCAATTCAGCAATCATGTTTGTTCTAACATGAAATCTTGTTTTTGTCATTATTTTTATCAGAGTTACTCACGATCAAAAAGTTAACAGATACTTTCATAAAAAACAAAATCTTGATCTTATTTTCTGTTAACTAATGTCTAACTGAATTGTGTAAATGGAACAACCATAAGTTTCTATGGTTTTACTGGTTATTTTCTTTAAATCTTAAATCAAGAAATAATTTGGCAGCAAGATCTTTTTTTAATAAATCTGTAGGATTCTACTAACATGAAATTCAGTGTTAGATATTTCTGAATACAAGGTTGGTATAGATGGAATAATATTCCAGTAACCAAACAAGGCTATTTTTTTTAAAAAGTACTCAATACAAAGTACAGTGAATAATATTTTTAAAAAAATTATAACATAAATATATTATAACATCACTACAAAAATAGACATTTTGTTTCAACATTTCTGGTGCCTTGTCAAGTGATGGTGGTGATTGTAAAATAAAAAAAATTTTAAAGAGTTTAAAAATCAACCACTATCTAAAGTAAGGGGAATATTTTTATGCAAGATGTAATGGCCAATCAAATTACAGGTATATGATAATTCAAATAATGCGACAACAGGCCCTAGATACAATTTATTAATGCTTTGAAATTAATATTAGATTATATAAGAAATCAGGATAACTAATTAATCTCCAATTTATTATGTAATTAGAAAATAAAAGTTACAAATATTAAACTCTAAAAATAACCATGTATCAAGTTTAGAAACTTACAAAATTGTACAAAGAAAAAAACAGAAAATATGCCTAAATTTTCATGTATTGTTCTTAGTAATATGTTAAGTTTTCCATCTGAATTTGAGTGGAAGTAAGAGGTGCAATGTATGGCTACAAAATTAGTTACATTGACAGGGTTGTTGTTAGATATTTATTTGATGAGGGAGGAAGGTTTATTGGTGACAAGACAGACATCACATTATATTACACAAACCTGTAAATATGATTGAATATATGAGCATGCAAATATACGGACAACAAATAAGCAGGCTCATCAAGATTTAGTCATCCAAATAACCACAGAGACAACACAAACTATCCGTTAAAATTACAGAAACATGGAAAATCAATATACAAATATATAAGCATACACACACACACACACACACACACACACATATATCTATCTATCTATCTATCTATATATATATATATATATATATATATATACCTACATAAAAATACATATATAAACATGCATATACAAAACATAAAAAACAAATACATATATATAAATAAATAAGTCCTTTTTATCAAGTAAATTAAGAAATATGAAATAGAAAGACATATGTTAGACAATAAAAAACATAAAGATAAATATACATATAAATACACATTATTTCATTATTATAATATTATTGTACTTTTATTAATATTCATATCCAAGTATCAATTTATCAGTTAAATTCAATACCTGAATATTAAAACAAATTATATTGGTGGCACTAAAAATCCATTGAAATGCCATTTTTACCAGCATGTTTTTTCCTTCAAAAATAGTTCTCATAAACATGCTACCTCACTGTCCAAGTACTATTGGAGTTTAAAGGAAAACAAAACTCCTACTGTTAAATGGAAGTTAATTATAAGAACTTGTACCTGTAATTCTTTATATGCACCATGCTACCTCTGTCTCAGTGAAAAGCTAGAAATCATTCAATTTAAGGACAAAATAAACCTATTAAATCAAAGGAAGGAGCTCGCTGTTAATTGCAAGCATAAATTATCTTTTAATTTGCTTTCTAGCTAGATAGAATATCGTATGTAAAGATAAAATGGTATTGTCAGTCTGTAAAAATTTTTTTTGTCTTTAAATTTTTAATCATTATCTACCTTTTTATTTGCTAAGATTTCAATATAAAGTGGATCATTTAATTAATATCGAATAGTCATAATTCTTATTGAATTAATCTTATATAGACTCTGAATTTAATATGGCTATTTTTGTAAGGATGTTTGTTTGTATATTAGTATATTTGTTTCTAATCCTGTTCTATATAGGCATACATTTCTAGGTGTTTGTTTTTATGTTTGTGTTTATATGTGCTTGTTTTTTATGGGTGTCCATGTTTGTATATTTATATGTTTTTTTCTTTATTAATATTTTTATTGATGTGCACTTGTGTATATGTATATTGTTTACATATGCTTTTACATGCATTGGTGTGACTAATATACGTTTTGTTCATTGGTACTCCTCTCA